AAAAAAAGGAAGAGAATATTGCTCATCCAAGCCAAATGCCCAGGCAGGAATATTTTTAATTGCCGGGTTTCCTTTCTCGGCTCCCCCTCCACACCCGCCCCACGCACAGACAAAAGAAGCTTAGCTTGCGTGACCCAGCACATAAGAAGTAAGAATAATGATACATTAAGAGAGTTCAATAGGCAAAACCTACTTGCAACTAACAGTCCCCATCTTCTTAAATAGGAAAATCTGTCGCTTCTGCTACCACCAAGCATAATAGCTCTCYCGCTGTCAGACCTGCACCGAGCCCGCAGCGCCAGCGCCTGACGGGGATGCCACGCTACCCTAGCGCATCGAACGGAGTGCTGAGGGGCTCCCGCGACCCCAGAAAGAGTCACAAAATACACCCTTCCCTCGCTCATGCGGAACCCCGTCCTCCCTTTGTTGAGCATCCTCTCCCTCCCGCCGCCCCTTACTAGCGCAGCCGGCGCTCCACAGCCAAGCCGGGCACATTCGTGGCCGCTCGGCGGCGGCGCCAGGGCTGCGGGATAACAATGAAAGAAAAAGGATAAAAATAATAATAATAMTACTAAATAAATAAATAAATAAACCCCAACAGATATCCCGGGGAACCACCGCCCGGCGCCGCGCCTGGCTTTGTGCCAGGCAGGGTACCCCCGTGCGCCATCCATCAGCCCCGCCGGCGGCGGGGGCCGCTGCCCGGGGCGGCGGGGCCCGGCACAATGGCCGGAGCGGCGGCGGCGGCGGGACAATGGCACACCCCAACCCCGCCGCAGCGGCCCGGGGAGGACGGGGGGGACGAGGAGGACGAGGAGGACGAGGAGGAGAACGACACCGACCCGGCGGGCTGCGTTGTGCGCACGATCGCTTTAAATAAAAGGACCCACAAAGACCTCGGCGGTGTATAATGTGACAGGCAAACGCAACATGGTGATGATGACTTGGGGGAAGAGGGAGGAAGGAGCCAACTGTGGCTGCGGCTCCCCCTGCGCCTCTCGCTCCCGGAGCGGGCTGCAGCGGCCGACATAGAACAAGGAAGACAATTCTCTACTAACCGTGGTTTTGACTGGCACGTACAGCACTTGCTTCCCTCCTCCAGCACCACCACTGACCTCGTCCGAGTTGCCGAGCTGGAAGCCTTTAGATTTGACCCAGAATTTGAATTTGGCATTATCCGTGGAGCTCGACTCGGAGCCGTTCAGGAGCTGGACGATCCGGTCGTATTTTTTACGGGTCACCGTCTTGGTTTTTCCTGAGTCCCCGTAAGTCCTGAGACACCAGTCCTGAAACTGGCGGTACATGTCCCGGTCGCTGCTCTCCATAATCTCCTAATACACACACGCACACATGCACACGCCGGGGCGCACACACACACACACGGACACGCACACAGACACGGGCAGACACACGGACACGCACACGCCGCCCCGAAGCGGGCCGGGGTGCGGGGCCGGGCCGCCCCGCCGCACTTTGCACCTGTTCACCCAGCGCTCATGAAAAATGCATCCACCTCCGAGCCGGAGCGAAGGAGGTCCCGGTGCAGGCAGATCCCAGCGGATTTTTTTTTTTTTTT